CAAAGAAGCCCAAGAGGCCACAAAGTCCTGCCCAGCTCACTGTCCACACAAAGTATTCTCCTGCCCTCTCTCCTGCTCCCCACTCACCAGTACCTGCCAGCTTTAAGGGTGGATTTGCGCAGTGACTAAAACTCCCACATTGAGCCCTAAGTTCTCAGATCTGTTATCTCTTGGGCTGGGGTCCACTGTGGTTCCTCTTTGGCTTCTCCAACCAAGACTGGACCCCCTACCACATACTCCCTATAATCTGACCCTGACATTTCCCAGCTTTCCTGATGCCCACAGTTTGCAATACCTCAACCCCAAATAAACACTTTAAAAATAAAGAAAAATGTCAGAGCAAGACTCCGTCTAAAAAATAAATAAAATAGAAATAAAATAAAATAAAAATAAAGAATAATGTCATCCATTTTTCTAGTAAAGTCCACAATACATCAAATCCCCATTGAGTAAAACTGGCCCTTTGGTAGAAGTCATCAATTAAGCTGAATTTTAAAAAATATCTGTATCATTATCATTCTCTTTCTAAATACTGTTAGGAATTACTGGTCCTTAAATGATTTCATTCACTAATTGTAATAAATTTATTTTGGGATGTCTCAGAAAACAAATTTGAAGATGAACAAAGCAATGCTTCTTAATACTGAAATTGCTAAACTTCTCATAGAATATAAAAAGAAAATTACTTTTAAAACATACTCTTCCAGGTTATGGAGCTTAGGGGACTGATTGCAACTCTTACGTGGCTACTTTTATTAAAAGTTTGTGGTATCCAATAATGGTACTCTTAAAGAGTAATTAACATCTTCAGAATAGGATTCATGAATATTACTCACCGCAGCTTATGGAATCCAAACAAAAGCACAGCCAAGAGCCCAAGGCATGGTTGATATGCAGGAAATAGCCAGACCGGGCTGTTTGGTCAGCAGCCTCAACGCTCCAACTGGAGACTGGAATGGGACTCAAAGGGGCCTGGGAGTACGCTTCCCAAAACATGCCAAAGATGGTCATCTGGCTCATGAAATCTGGAAATTCAATTTCTTCGTTCCCAATAGTTCCCTTAAAAAAGTCAGTTTAATAAGTATTAAGAGTGCATCCAGTTTTGATGCTCTCCTGTGTACTTAAAAATATTACATACCAGCCTTCTGTTTTCATATAATCTCCATTACATAGTTGGGCTTTGCCCACATTTTGGCAATGATGTCTGTCTTTCAAAATTTGCTTTCCTCATAAATGAAGAAGTGAGTCCCTGTTCTCTAGGCAGCCTCTCCTTTTACCTCCTAGCTGGGCTCAACCCTGCCATTCCCTTCCTTAGTCCTCTGAAACTGGGTGCCACCTGAAGTAGATTTACTGCCCTGTTCTTTTGGTGAGTTCTCCGTGTATCTCTCATCCGCCTCCTCATTTCTTCTGTGGACTTCGCATTCAGATGACACCTCTGAGGCTGTTCTGGCAGCCTATCCTCAGAAAGACCTCCTTGGGCCCAGCTGCTTCCGGAGATATGATAGAAAGTGGAATTGGGTGGGAAGGATGGTTTTAGAAAACTTGAGTGCAAATGATATGCAAATGATGCCGCTAACAAGCTGTGTGACCCGAGGAAAATCACACAGCATCTCTGAATCTTTAATTTGGTGTTCTGTAAAAGGGAGATTCTCACCCCAACTCCCCTCTGTTGGAGCAAGATGGTCATGAAATGACAAAAGCAAAGGAGCTCTGTAAACCACAAAGAGCTGTCCAGAGGTGAACAGATGTTATTTATTCTCCTAGCAACATCACTGCTTTCATCTGGGCAGCTGTTAGCAGCGGCATTATTCTTCCCCCGCCAGGTTCCAGCGTTCCCATCTCTTCTCTCATCCTACTCCAGGAGGGCCCATCCCAGTGATCCCAGTTTCAGTTTCACAGAAGGTGCAGCTGGGTCCTTGTTCTCTGCAGCTGAAGCACTCAGTTTGCCAGAAGCCTGCCCCTCAGATAACTTCTTGAAATGCCGTTAAAGCATGCCCAACTTCCTCTCAGTTCCTGAAGCAAAACACAAGCAGCTGGCAAGTGGTTAACCCAAGCCACCCTCACCACAGCACCATCACACATATTTGGGGACAACAAAATGATGCTAACAGGGCTTAAGCTTTGAGGTGTGATGGGCCCAGGTTTGAATCTTGCCCTCAACCATTACCAGCAGTGTGATCTTAGGCAAGTCTCTTAACTTCTGTGAGCCTCAGTTTTCTCATCTATAAAATGAAATAATAATACGTCACGGGGCACTCGGTAGGTGATGATCATTATGATGATGATAATAATATGACAGAAACGCGGGGAGCTTGTTAGACAGCGTTTAGTTTACTGCTGCTTTTATTGGGACTGTTAATACTTCCTAATAACTCATTAGGCAAGTTCAAGATTTCCTGGGATCAGTGTACCATTTGAAGGTCTGGGGAGAGAAACCCTGCACAGTCCCCCTAGATGACCTGCTTTTTTCCTAGGGTCTCATCCAAGATAAATCCCATTTCTCATACCATGCTCCATATCTCCAGAAAATTGAATTAATACAAATAAAACTCTTGGAATAATTCCAAACTGAGACACTCACTGTTCCCCAAATAAGCCCCTCATAGTCTTGCCTCTGGGTGCATGTTCACACAATCCCCTCCACCAGGACAGCCTGTCCCCCTTGCAGTGCCAATAGGCATATGCCAATCTTTCATACCCATCTTTCCTGTCTCATCAGCTCAGCCTCGCCTAGTACTGAGAGTTCTTGGCAAACATGTCTTCTCTCTCTCTCTGCCCTGATGCCTCCAGGAGGCCAGAGGCCCTGCTACCATCTCCCGGGGAGAAATCAGAGTGGGGCTTAAGGGGAGGAGGGGCTGTGGGAGGTGGTACCAAAAACTGATGCAGGAAGAAGAGAACCAGGAAGCAGAAAGATGAATGACTGAAGCCAGGGAAAATTTGCATCAGAGGGTCACTCTGTGTTAGGACAGGATTTTCATGAAGGGAAAATTCAGTTTAGTATAAGAAATCAAACAAGAGAAGCGCTATGGGGAGTCTTTACCCAGAATAGATGCAAAATATCTTCACAGGGCTTCCCATGTGCAATGTTCTACAAGGCCATTATTAAAATTCATAAATGAGGAGAAGCTAGTTGATAACCCAGAATAACATTAGTGTTCGATCAGTGCAGAAACAATAATCAATAAGGCCAACAGGAGAGGCTCAGAGAACAGCAGAGACATTCACACTGCTGCGGGCCTCTCCTCCTCCGGGTGATTTCTGTGTGTTTAATGTTTCTTTATCCCTGCAGTATCCCGTGTATCATGATTGTACTCTTACAGGTTCCTTGGGGACAGAGCTGAGTCTGTTTCCTGCTTGTCTTCTTGATGTCTCACACAGGGCCAGCCACAGAGCCCGTCTCCATAACCGGGTGCTAGACCATGCCTCCTGCTCATGTTCCCTCACACCTGAGTGAGCCTTCCTGCATTGAAGGCCTAGTCTGCAGTCTCTGGGCTTTGACTCTGAAGCCAGTCTCTTTTCATGGCAGCTCAACCATCATGCTGGCTGAGAGGTCTCAGTGAATATCTGTTGACAGAGATCTCGCACACCCCTGGTCTCCTCTTAACTTACCTGTCAAACTCTGGCAGGAATGCCCCCTCAACCCCACCTGTCCTCCAACTCTGAATCCTATCCTGGCCCAAGGTAGAGGGAAGAACAAGATCTTGGTGTAGGCATCAACCAACATAGCAACTCACTCAATTCTGACTTCATATCCAGGAGATTTTTCACTATCTAGTCCATGTTATAAAAATGGATTTAAGGCTGGGTGAGGTGGCTCATGCCTGTAATCCCAGCACTTTGGGAGGCCAAGGCAGGCAAATTACGAGGTCAGGAGTTCGAGACTAGCCTGGTCAACATGGTAAAACCCCATCTCTACTAAAAATACAAAAAATTAGCCGAGCGTGGTGGCGCATGCCTGTAATCCCAGCTACTCAGGAGGCTGAGGCAGGAGAATCGCTTGAACCCAGGAGGCAGAGGTTGCAGTCAGCCGAGATCGCGCCATTGCACTCCAGCCTCGGCAATAGAGTGAGACTCCATCTAAAAAAAAAAAAAATGGATTTAGAGGACAATCACCTTAATAAATCACCTGTTTTTATTTCTGCTGGTTCCAGTACAAACATAACTTTTGTATAGCACAAAACCTTAGAATTACAATTTGCATTCTGATTTTTTTTTTTGCTTCATAATATAATTATTTTTTTCCCCCTATGCTGTTTTTTAGTCCTTGATAGTTACATAATATTTGCATTGGGTCAATGTAGCACAATTTACTTAACCAGCTCACTAGTTTTTGGTGATTTCCAAATTGGTGCTAAAATTACATTGCAATGATGATCTTGGTGGATATTATTTTTCTGAAGTTAGAATTATTTTCTAAGGATAGATTTTCAGAAAAGGAATCAATGAATTAAAGAATATGAGTGTTCTTAAAACTCCTAATATATAGTGCCAAATTAAAGTTAGTGGGGGTATTTTTAACTAATTTGTGTTGCCATGAGCAATATATAAGTATTTCAGTTTCATCACAATGTCACCTATATTGGGTGTCATGATTATTTAACATTTTTGCTAATTTAGAATGTATAAGTGATATCTCATTTTGAAAAAAATTTGCCCTTCTTTAATCACTGGTGAGGCTGGCAGATTTCTCTTATGTTTCTCTTATGCTCACATCTCCTCTTGGAGATCTTGACAGTGCTAGAATTTCTGCTCTGGTGGTGAAGACACCCAGTGTTTTGGTTCTTGCATTTATAACCTGTGCTCCTTCACTCTGGCTTTTTCCCCTAGTTGCTCATCTCTTTGACACAACTTGATCTCACATTTGTCAACCATTTTACCAAAGTCTAAAAACTTGGGTAGGGATTTATAATCATGGATTAAGAGAATGTCAGATGCAGTTAATAACAAGTTTAGGTTCCAGAGCAAACTCTGGTATTTTCTTGTTTGTTCATTTTTTAAACTATGCGACATTAACTTCACTTTTTCTCTCTGGGGCCTCTCTTTTCTCACTTGCAGAAAAGAGTAATTCCACTTACCCACTTACCCTATAGTGTTGTCTGAGCACTTTGAGCCTTATAAAACAAGGGTCAGCCAAATTTTTCTGTAAAGGGCAGATAGGAAATATTTTAGGTTAGCAGGTCATCTGGTCCTTGTCACACTACTATATTCTGCCACTGAAACATGAAAGTAGTGTAAACAATAGTAAAAATAAACTAGCATGGCTATTGTTCAATAAAGTTTTCTTTATAGATACCAAAATTAATTTGTTTTACCTATAAATGCATAATTTATACTTTATACTGACATTTTAAAAATATAATATATAACATTGCATATTATGACATAATAAGGACATGTATAATTATGTGTAGTATATTTTATACTTATATGTAAATTATATAATTACATATGATTATATTTTTTAAATTTTGTATAATTTCCATTATATACAATGTGTTACAGAATACTGTTGTTTTGATTTTTTTCTGACTATTTAAAATTGCAAAACCCATTTTTTGCTCATAGGCTGGACAAAAACAGGGAGCAGGCTGGATTTGACCCATGAACTCTAGCTCGGCCAGCCACTTCTTTCAAGTCCTAACCAGCTTGAGATCTCATGGGATAGTCAAAACAAATCAATACTCAGGACAGGCAATAGTACTGCCCCTGATTTTTAGTAGAGAAAACAAGGGACAAAGAAAGTTAAATGACTTGTCCAAGATCGCACAGCCAGTATAAGGAAGGGCTGGAATTGGGATCAGATCTGGCTAACTCCAAATCCCAAGCAATGTGGTTGTGGCCAGCTTCCTCCCCAGTCATTGGTCCCAGTCCTGGGCCAACTCCCTTGTGTCAGTATCTATTCCCAGATCCCTGAGTTTCCTGACCCATGGTTGAGGGCCTCCTTCCTCAACCTGTTCCACACTGACCCCAACCAAGGCCAGAGACTAACATGGCCCCACATCAGAAAAAAACAAACCCAGTCTTTCTACTTTCTACAAAAAGCCTCTTTATCCTCCAACCACAAAGTCACGTATTTGTAGAATCAAGCACCAAATTTCCACATTCATGGAGATGTTTAGTAGTATATAGACAAGACTCAAATCTGTCTGCCACAAACACTCTGCAAACATTCACTTGACCAGTCAGCTCCGATTATCAGTCTTGTCCCTATGACATGTGACCACAATCACATTTTTCTGTTTTGTTTCCTTTTGATGAGTCCCATACTCTTCGAGGACAAGACCAGCATCAGTAGAAAAATCACTACCTTGCAAACAGGAAATCCTACGACAACAAGAGCCCACGTCGTCTGGTGGAACAAGAAAAGGCTTTTGCAAATGGTAACCAGAGTTCAAGAGGTGGTTCTGCCACTAATGACCTGACTTCCCTGAGGTTTAGTTTCTCAGCTGAAAATGAACACAATTAGCTTTAAATGAGAAGATATTTGTAAGTGTCTTTTGTAAACTGTAGACCTATATACAAATACTAGGTAATGATGCTGTGATAAGGCTTGTACAATTTCAAACTAACACTTTAACTTGAATTACAACTTTGTCAGCTCTATTCAAGATGTAATCCTTGTCAGCTTCTACAGAAATTCAAAGGCAATGTTTCCAGGAGATTTTTTTTTTTTTTTTTTTTTTTTTTTTACCCCAAGGCTTACTTTCTTTCCTGCATGAATGGGAACTGAATTCATTATGAATTCCTCTGGCACGAGCACAAATCCAGGGTGTATGCGGTTTGAAGTGACAAATGATAGGATGCTGTTTCAGGGGCTTGTGTGGGGGCGGGCAGCACCAGCAGAGGAGTGAACTCCATTGTCCCAGGCAGTGGCACCGGTAGCCTCTGTGTGGCACCAAGGCCGCCACCTACAAAGAGCACATCACAAAGCCTCCCCCAGTATCAGCACTCATGCTGATAGGGCTCTGAAATCCCAGGGATGTCAGATACACACCCTACCCAGCCTTTATGGGAACTCAGTCACCTATACAAGAATCCTTGCCTTGGGTTCTGATCACAGCCTATTCAGAGCTAAAAGAGATCCTGCATTACCTGGTCTAATCTATTTCATTTCACTTATGGGGAAACTGAGGCTCATATAGTAAAAGTGACTTGCTCAAGTTATAGAAGCCTTAGCATTAGAAGACTTTGGTATAAGTTTTTGTTCTGCAACCAACTAGCTATGTAAACTTGGTCAGATTATCCTCATTGAAAGATGACTAACTCTATCATCAATAAAAACTAGCATTTTGATAGAACTTGAGGGTTCATCAACTGTATTCACAATCTAATACTTACCATAAACATTAAGACAGGGCAGGCATTGTAGGAATCTGCATTTTCTCTAAGAAGAAAGAGAAGCTCAAAGAAGCAAAGTGATTTTCAGGTTTTCACAGCTAATAAAGGGAAACTTACACCTACCTTCTGGCTCCAAATATTGTGTTTTCTCCATCAATGAATACTGTTTAATTTCCTCAGTAATAAAACATTTAAAACTTGTCTTGTAAGGCCTGAAGGACATATGTAAAAGTACGCTTGATCACTGGTTCCCAACATTTTGAAAATAGGGAAGTGTATTGGTTATCTATTTATGGAGAATAAACCACCCCCAAACTTAGCAGCTTATAACAGCAAACATTTATACTCTCATACAGGTTCAGAGTCAGGGACATGGAAACAGCTTACCTGTGAGATTCTAACTCAAAATCACTCACAAAAATGCAGTCAGGCCATCAGGGCTGCAGTCATCTCAAGACTTGCCTGGGGCTGGAATCCTCTTCTAGACCTCTCTTGTGGTTGGCAGCAGGCCTCAGTTCTTCACTGGATGTTGGAGTTTGGAGCGAGACCCCCAATCCTCTCCATAGGCTGGCTGAGTGTCTTTTTGATGTGGCAGCTGGCTTTCTTTAGATTAAGGGATCAAAGAAAGAGATACAGAGAGAGAAAGAAAGAGAGAGAGACAGAGAGTGAGAGAGGCGGGGGGGGGAGAGAGAGAGAGAGAGAGAGAGAGACTACCCAAGATGGAAGCCACAGTCTTTTTATAACCTAATATCAAGGGTGATATACCATCACTTCTGCAGTATTCTATTCATCAGAAACATGTCACTAAGACTAAGTCCAGCCCACACGGAAAGGGAGAGCATTACACAATGATATGAATGTCAGGAAATGAGGATCATGGGGGCCATCCTGGAGGCTGGCTACCGTAAGATCGCTTCATCATTCTAAAATCTTTGCTGACTCCCACAAGATCAAGATCATTTTTTTTTTCTAATGGAGTCTCGCTCCTGTCATGCAGGCTGGAGTACAGTGGCATGATCTTGGCTCACTGCAACCTCTGCCCCCCAGGTTTAAGCAATTCTCCTTCCTCAGCCTCTCGAGTGACTGTGATTACAGACGCCTGCCACCATGTCTGGCTAATTTTTGCATTTTTAGTAGAGATGGGGTTTCACCATGTTGACCAGGCTGGTATCGAACTCCTGACCTCAGGTGATCCACCCACCTCAGCCTCCTAAAGTGCTGGGATTATAGGCGTGAGCCACCACACCCAGCCAAGATCATAATTTTTATATCATCTGTTTGACTGAAAAACAAAGTAGATTAATCTATATGAAATTGCCCAGGTTTACCTGTTTGTGACCCCCAAAAATGGCAATTTCATATGATTCAAGCTAATTTATCATCTCTTGAAGCTCTCAGGTATTCATGAACACTTTTTGATGATGCTGTACTTCATTAATTGCAATAGCATGTGTGTTCTTAGGGAAAAATGTTAATATTTATAGTTGGAGGTATGTTATTTATTCAGTCTTCAGACAGCAACTGGTGAGAAATGGGTTTATGACTTCTCCTCACCTCTCTAGAATTAACTGTATAGGCCCCTAGGGGTCCACAACCCAAAGACTTAATCATTGCACAAGCTGGATGTAAGATACAACTAACTCTAGTAGATGCCAAATGTCCTTTCTATGACAACATACTGCCTTCCAGTAGGTGTCTTTATCAGACAAGTAACAGCCCGTTCTGTTAAAATGAACAATTCTAATGAGTCAGTTCTGATTTGCTAATAGCTGCCCCAGATCAATCAGAGGCTTTTTGTTATAATTCTCAGAACCGAAGCAATAAACTGTATCATTTATCACATGGTGTGGTGCCTCATGCCTGCAATCCCAGCAATTTGGGATGCCGAGATGGGCAGATTGCTTGAGCTCAGGAGTTTGAGACTGGCCTGGGCAACATGGCGAAACCCCATCCTTACCAAAAAAATACAAAAATTAGCCCAAAGTGGTGGTGTGCACCAGTAGTCCTAGCTACTTGGGAGGCAAAGGTGGGAGGATCACTTGGCCGGAGAGGTTGAGTCTGCAGAGAGCCATTATTGTGCCACTGCACTCCAGCCTGGGTGACAGAGTGAGACATTGTCTCAAAAAAGGAAAAAAAAAAAAAAAGTTAATTTATCATTTTAGTCTCCTAACTTTTGAGAGATAGTGCTTGGGCCATCAGTCTGCTGCATCCTCACTGATTTTCAGTTAATGCTCTTACTATGAATACTAGTCCATAAAAAGTAGCTAATATCAATGGTTCAGTTCAGGGAACTGCTGTCCTACACAGTTACTGAGAAACTGCTATGGGCAGAAACTACTCCAGCTTCTGGGGATTCAGTGGTGAATGAGACAGGATCTTTGCTGTCATATATTTTACATTCTTACAATTCCCACACCTAGCTTTCTAGAAATATAGATCCTTGGGATCCACTCCAGATTTATTCACTTTTAAAGCCCTGCAGATGACTGATAATAGCTAAGTTTATGTCCAGCATTTGAGAAACAGTGGTCCATATTTCAGTTCTCAACTTCTTCATCTCTCGTTTACTCCATACCCCACAGCAATGCTTTCTGCCCTCACTGCTTCACAGAGATTGGTCTTGTTAACATCAATGAACTCCTGATAGCTGACTCCATGGATTCCTTCCAACTTCATTTTACTTTCTCCTTCGTGGCATGACACTGCTGACCATGTCCTGCTTCTTGAAATTCTCCTCCCTCGGTTTTTGAAAGCATTCCCTTTGAGTCCTCCTCCTGCCTTCACTCTGGTTACTCCCTCTCACTGTCCTACTGCTGACCCTCTTCCTTTCCCACTTGATAAACAATGGGGTTGCTCAGCACACCAGTCTCAGTCATTGCTTCTCACTCTCCAAGGAACCCCTGAGCAAATTCCCCTGTACTCCTGCTTTAACTAGTCTATGTCGATGACTTGAAACCCTGTCTAGGAGACCTCACTCCCCAACACCAGTAGCACTCGTTAGCACACAACACTCCACAGACCCAAGGATGCAGCCCAACTTGAAAGAAACAGAAACCCATGCTCCCTTCCCAGAGAATGAACTACATCTTTGTTTTAGAGAGGTCACCAGGTGAGAGTGGACTTCTGCAAAGATGAGTGCTAAACAATATTTTTGTTTTAAATTCTGAGCCTGAGGGGGAACAGGGGATAAAAGCTATTGATTGAGGGACAAAAAGAACAAGGAAGAGAATTGGGTGGCATGAATGTGACATTGTTTGCATATGTATTTGTGTGTGTATATGTATATTATTTTTGGGTATATGTATATTATATATAGTATATATAAAATATATGTGTGGCTACATAGGAGACAATAATTGTACCTACCTCACATGGTTATTATGAACTAATGTAAATAAAATACTGAACAATGTACCTGGTGCATAGTAAGGATGCATTCCTGTTAGCTTCGTTCCACTGTCTCCAAAATTTTACCTGCTTAAGCAAATACAAGAAATTTCTGTTTGAGTCAGATCCAGTTGCTAAGCTTAACTTTAGGCTAGAGAGTGGATAACTGCACTCCTGAAATTGCATGCATAATTTTATATAAATATGCATATGTTTGTTTTTCTAAAGATGGAATCCTTTATTTTCATGAAATTCTCAGAGTTTTTGTCTCTAAAAATGTCCAGAATGCTTAGATATCATCTGCTGGTCAACATTTCAACTATCATTACTAATCTTTCTCATTCGTAAACACACTATTTCCCTTTCTAAGAAAATTAGTGGAGTCCTCCTGCATGCATGCGTTCATTCATTTGTGTAATAGGCAATTATTTGCGATGACTCTATACCTGACATTGTGCTAAGCCCAGGGCACAGTGAAACACGAACTCTGTAAAATATCCAAAACATAACTACTTAACCTGTGATGGTTTAAAGTCACTATAACATTTGAAAAAGGGGTGTCCCAACAGCTTTGGAGCAACAGCTTTAAAATGTGCTACTATCAATAGAAACAATTTTTTTTTCCTTAAGAAAGGAGAGAAGGGAGATCATTCAATAAGGAATAAAAATATAGCAATGTTTTATCTTTAACTGGACAGAAGCTAAGAAGAGACAATCTCCCAGATTTTACCACCTTCATCCTTGCCTCTTTCTTTTTAGTTTTTTTTTGGACAAAAATCTTCCCTTTATATTCTAGACTTTCTCTTTTAGTTCATTATGAATTGTAGACTCTTGAAGTCTTAGAAATTGGTGGGCCCTTAATCCATAGATACAGTATATCAATTAGGTCTAATCTTGAAAATATCCAAGAATGAGGGTCTCACTAACATAGAGAGTCATTCTATATTATAGTGTGTTTAATTGGTAGTAATTTTTTTCTTTGTTTTGGGCTGAAATTTACTCTAATTTTCAACCCAAAGTCCTAATTTCATCTTTTGGGACTATCCATGTCTTCTACATCAATATTTTTCATTAATAGGCCATTAAATCAATTTTAGAATTACATCTAGCATGATATTGAATGAAATTAGAAGAGGCCAAGATAGGATAGAAGAGGAAAGAATTGAATCAAATCTAATTGAATTGAATATTCAGAGTAGAAAATATCAGCATTTAGAGCTTGTAATAGTAACTGGTATTATAATTTCGGTTATTTATATAAATATGTTCTAGAGTGTGTTATAAAAATATCTTTCTTACTTTTGGTTTTCATTGGAAAATTTGGAAAACACCAATTCCTTCAGATCTTTGATGACTGTCGTGGAACTCCATGGGTTCTGTTCTCCAGATTCAGTATCCCAGTGCTCATGAAAATGCCTCATTTCATTTGACTTTGTTTCCAGTCCCTTCCCTACCCTGGTCTCTCTTCTTGGACTGTGCTATCTTGAACTTTCCTCTTTAAGTGGAATCACAGCATCCCCCATCCAGGACAGGACTGGGAGGAAGGGGGACAATACCACAACTGGGGGCAAGGAGATAGGCAGCAGTTTGCCTTGCCTCCTTGTTTGCTAAGTTTTCCAATGCGTTCAGCAGTGGCATTCCAAGACCCTATTGCCAGAAAGCTTTCAGGAAAGTATTTGTGGGAAACTTAGATCAAAAAAATACACATTGAACAGCTACTCTACCAGGTCCCTGGCTAGTGCCAAGAGACAGAGAGATAAAACCCACCTTGTGCAGTCCAGGCCTACTCATACTCATTGTCTCATTGAATCTGTGAGCTATGTAGACTCATTTTCATATCATTTTATAGTAAGAGAACCAAGGCTCAGAGAGGCACATAAGAAACTTTTGTTATATAGAATTTGTCATAAAACTTGCAATAAATGGTTATTAGACCACTCATAATGTGATGTGGGTGACAATGGCAGTAGCTCTTAACTCCATTAGCACTTGATTGTTTTCAAGACACCCCCTATGCCTTATAACAACCATTTAGTGATTGTGTAGAACAGATAATAGCATTCTCATCTTCCAGGTGAGAACATGGGCCAAGGAAGATTAAGCTACTGGTCCAAGGTCACATATCTAGAGATCTAGAGGATACTGTAGCTAGGATTTGAACTTGGGTTCCAACTCTAAATTCAATGCCATTCTCATGCCCCCAGCCTCCTATCCCC